ATTACAGCCCATCTCCAGGCTACAGAAATCAGTTCCCCTGGAGAAAATCAAGATGGGTCACCTTGTTAGTCTGTCTGTAGCAGTAGAAAAGAGCAAGAGTCCAGGAGCACCTTAAAGACTAACAACATTTGTGGCAGGGGAGGAGCTTTGGGTAGTCACTGCGCACTTCTTCAGATACAGCAAGAGTGGGAGTCCATCTGTCCTGTTTATTGGAAAGTGGAGAGATTTCAGATGCTGAATGACATTAGCAGGCAAATGACAAGAGCAGGTGAATGACAGTGGCAGGTGATTGGATTTAGGTGAGATGTGCAGAGGGGTAATAGGCGTGGAGAAATCAGCATTGGTAATGAGACAGGAAACCTAGGTCTCAATTCAGTCCAGGAGGATACATTGTCTTGAGCTTCATTATTAGTTGCAATTCAGCAGCAGTTTGGTGTCGTGGTTAACTGCGCGGACTCTAATCTCGGAGAATCGGGTTGGATTCTAGTATAAATCAATCTCCTCCTCCTCTTCCTCCTCCTCCTCCTCCTCCTCTTCCTCCTCCTCTTCCTCCTCCTCCTCTTCTTCTTCTTCCTCTTCTTCCTCTTCTTCCCTCCCTTTGAAATTCCTGGATAAAATGGATGCTTTGGACGGGGGACTCTGTGGCATTGTACCCCACTGAGGTCCCAGTCCTCCCCAGGCTCCATCCCCAAATCTCCAAGAGTTCCCCAACCTGGATCTGGCCAGGGGGTAGCTGGCAGCTCTATCTGTAGCCCCCCCCCCCGAGACTGGCAACCCTAGAGCATTGGACCAGAACAGTATGAGTTATTCCCCATTAATTAACGTACAGTATGAAGGTATGGTCTTGCACATGTGATATAAGCATGTGTTTAGTGCCTATCGGTGCCACCTGATTTTAGCTTTGATTGCTATTATGCTAAACAGTTTTAATCATTATGATGTTGTTTTAGCTTGTTGTACCCCTCCCTGAGCCTTCTGGTGTCTACCAAAATAGAAGTCTAATAAAATAAATATCCGACATTTCAAACTAGAGCTGTTCACGGATCTTTCATTTCCCTCTGTACAGACCTCGCCTGCCTCTCCCCACTAATGGATCTCTTTTAACTGCTGTTTCCTTCTCTCTGTGTCTGTGTGATTTATTTCTACGTGTACATGTGTGCGTGCATGCATTTGCTTTTCCGATGTTCAAAAGCTTTTGAGGGAAGTTTACGGAAATGAAGACCCGTCGGGGTAAACTGGAGCAGCGCCGATAACGCAAACGGCTGTCCTACATTAAAATAAAACCAACGGGAGGGTCTCAAAGAAACTTGAATGAGCGGCGAATGGGTGGATTTCCGCCCCACCTTTCGCATGCATGTCTCCACAGGACCGTCTGACATTTTTCACAAGCTGAGGCTCAGTGTCAAGAGTTTAGAAGCGAAACCACATGCACGGTCGTAGTGCCCAGGAAGGGGGGAATGTGAGTGGCCGTCAGTCGATTCAGAACCCCCAATCCGAGTGCGTTTAAAATAGCCTTTTTGTTTTGTGTTGCCGTTGTTACTCACACATTTAGAACTGACCTCTACACATGGACTGGAGCTGGAGGCTAAAAAACTGTGAGCTAGCTCACACTAACTCAGCTTAGAGGGAACACTGTGAGAGACCAATGAGATTTCTGGACCGCGAGCTTTCGAGACTCAACGTTCCGTTTACCATCTGATGTAGAGTGTTTTGACTCTCGAAAACACATGCCCTGAAAATAGTCATGGTTTCTAAGGCAGGGTGTCAAACATACGGCCCGTGGGCCAGAACTGGCCCCTCCAGGGGTCTTATCCGGCCCAAGAGCAACTGGTCATTACCTTTATTGCCAGATGACCGAGGTTGTGCGTGATGTCCCTGTATACTGTCCCGGAGCTAACGGAAGTGGGAGGGTGTGCGTCAGAGAGATACTTCATGTGTAATGGCTGTGGAATTGGGAGGGTGTGCGTCAGAGAGATACTTCAAGGAAATACTGCAAGAGTGCTAATGTTTTAAGCAGGTTTGTATCTGGAGTCAAAATTAATATCGCTAATCGGGTTTGCCTGTGTCCTTTATGATGTCCGTACCTGGGATTACATTTTATGGCATGCATGGCCCGGCCCGACAAAGAAAAAGAAGAAGAGATTGGATTTTTACCCCGCCCTTCACTACCCAAAGGTGTCTCAGAGTGGCTTACAAACTCCTTTCCCTTCCCCTCCCCACAACAGACATCCTGTGAGGCAGGTGGGGCTGAGAGAGCTCTTGACAGAAACTGCTCTTTTTCAAGAACAGCTGTGCCAGAACTATGGCTTGCCCAAGGTCATCCAGCCAGGTGCAGGTGGAGGAGTGGGGAATCCAACCCGGTCCTCCCAGATGAGAGTCCGCGCACTCAACCATTACACCAAACTGGCTCTCACAGTCAAATTTATGTCAGATCCAGCCCTTGTAACCTTGACACCTCTGTGGAAGGTGCTACTGGATTCGAATCCAGCTCTCCTACCGCATGCTGACACAGCTGCCTTCTGCAGCTGTCTTTGTGGATGACAGCAAGGGAAGAGCTGAAAAGCGAAGAGGGAGCATGTGGATTTGGCACTGAGCTAGTAGTCCAGGAGCTTCATAGTTTTCCAGCATACGATAGACTTCAGGATAGTGTGCAGTTAGCATGAGCGGGGGGGACTGACACAGCCTCAACTGGCAAAGATTTCTCCCTCACACTGTGTAACCTGGACATTTCTGATGCTTATACCCTGTGGCTAATAGGACCTGGGTGGCCCAAGCTGGCCTGATCTTGTCAGATCCTGGAAGCTAAGCAGGGTCTGCCCTGGTTAGCACTTGGATGGGAGACCACGGAGGAAGCCCAGGGTTGTTCTGCAGAGGCAGGCCATGGCAAACCAACCACCTCTGTTTAACTCTGCCCTGCCTTGTACGGTCCAGGCTACTCCAGTCTCATCAGATCTCAGAAGCTAAGCAGGGATGGCCTTGGGTCATTTCGTAGGAAAAGAGGTGCAGGAGCTCATTAGCATAACTCATCAGCATGACTTGTTTGCATATGCCACACCCCCTGACATCACTGGAAGTGTGTCAGAAGGCAACACCCACCGCTCAGGCTCCACTGGACTGTTTGGGATTGCTAGCTATTGGGGGGGGGGAATGTGCAGATCTGCCCTCGCAGAGGAGGGAGAGCTTGTACCTGACAGAAAGAAAGAAAGAAAGAAAGAAAGAAAGAAAGAAAGAAAGAAAGAAAGAGAATAAAAGAGAAAGAAGGAGAGAAAGAGGGAAAGAAAGAGGGAGAGACGGAAAGAAGGAGGGAAAGAAGGAGGTAAAGAGGGAAAGAAAGAGGGAGAGACGTAAAGAAGGAGGTAAAGAGGGAAAGAAAGAGGGAGAGATGTAAAGAAGGAGGGAAATGGAAAGAAGGAGAGAAGGAAGGAAAGAAAGAAAGAAGGAGGGCAAGCAAGAGGCT